CGAGTGGTAGTCTCTATAAATCGTTGTGACTATATTTCAAATCAGGGTATCTGATGAAGAGATTGATAGGTTGATCTCCCCAGGATACCATAGTTGATTCTCGTTGTTGTGACCTCGATGCTTAGGTTGACGCAGTTCACAAGGAATCTTTCTTAATTTCGGGTGAAACCAGACTGAGCTTTCATCTTACATACGAGAGACATCGTCATTGTCCTCGATCTCATTCTTACGAAAGCTCAATTTTATGAACTCTACTCGGCTCAGTGTTGTTTGCTATTCTTACTAACGCCTTAAACATAACCAAATATGTATACATAGGTTAGAGTGTTTTGGTTACTCCCATTCATGTTAATCTAAGTACTCTTAAAGATAGGAAAACAAAGCTGGTGGTATATGAGATGCATTCACCCAATTTCGTTTAAGGTGATGAATGACTGGTAGTTGAATTTTCCTACGATGGTATGAGTAGAGCTGAAATTTCCACTGAATTTTGCATAGCCTTGCTTCCCCAAAAGTTGTTCTCATTCCAGCCGGAATGGATTGCAGCTTCGACCTCGCATCGGTCTTATCAACACCCCCAACAGGGGTCGAACAGTGACAATGCAGAATGTGAGTTTGGCACGTCAACCACTCGGCCACATTGCCACGAGTGTCCTCGGGTCACAGGGCAGATGTGAATTTCAAAGAAGGCCTGGCCTTTTCCCATATCACTTTCTTGATGGGATTGTGGATGCGAGGTGGAAACTGCAGTCCACTCTTGATGAGAACAACTTTTGGGAAAGCAAAGCTATGTGAAATTCAATGGAAACGTCAGCTTTATTCTTATGGGGAAATTCTGCCACCAGTCCCTCATCGCCTTAACGAAATAGGGTGAATAAATCTCATATAACTGATTTAGTGGTAGTCTCTAAACTCTACTTAAATGCGAAAAATAAAGTCACGTAGTCGATTGTTACAGTAAAAATACATTTGCTTCATCGACACTCCCACCAAAGAATGTTATATGGGAAATGACTTGGTCTTCCGTGAAAGTCACAACTGCCCCGTGACCCAAGGGCCTTCGTGGCAATGTGGTCGAGTGGTTAACATG